ACAGGTTCACAATCTTTGGAGGAGTAACCTTGAGCCTCTTCTCTTTCTTATCTCTTCCCTTTCTGAGCTCAATGCACTCTTGCTCCTGAAGCGGTGCAAAAGATCATTATCTACTAGGAATTTTCATCAGAAATATATTGAAGACAACTTATGTCATAAAACCACTATACTAGGTCTTCAGCATCTACTCAATGTCAATGTCATGCACATAAATATTATCCATCAAGGTAAACCAGTGTAAAGAATGCTAACTGCTAAGTCAAGTGAGATGAATCAGACATAATCCAAATGGAGCCAGCTAAACAAATAGTACAACACAATGCGGGTGCTTAAAATTAAAAAGTTCCTTCAATGAGGTCATGCAGTTAAGTTCAAGATTTTTCCCTTGCAGGAATCTGTTCATTTATCTCCATAACATATAAAAGCAACTGCAACTCAATTACTGATCGAAATCAACTGAAACATCTGCCTAATACCCTAATGCCTCTACAGTCAAATAGAAACCTTAGAAAGACATTTAAATTCTGGAACTCCAAAAATTCAAATTTTATACAGCATACATGAGAGTATTGATGGGTAGGGTATATGACGTACCAAACGATTCCGCTCCTCTGAAATTCTATCAAGCTCCCTCTGCAATAAAATAAAAAAAAGAATTAGCCCAATCCATTCAAATAACTTTCTATAAAATGGGAGGGCAAAAGTAGTCTACTCCCCAGCCAATTGATCAGAGAATGACTACTTCATTTATAAACATCACTATTAATTACATACTAGTAGCATTTTCTAACCTTCAAACTGTCAAGTTCTTCTTCTTTGGCATTGTGGGACCCGCCAGCAGGGAGAGAGGAGCGGGCAGCGGCAGCGGAGAAAACGTCGACATCGAATAACTGATTGAAACCTTTAGGCACTTCTGGAACTCTCTGAGACAAATCCCGCGGAGGCGAATAGCTAACGTACGACACCGCCGGATATGATTGCTGCAGCGGCGGCGGCGGTAGCGGCGGAGGTGGAAGGGATTTCTGAGTGGCAATGGACAAGGCCTGCTCTTCAGCTTGAACAAGTTGGTCGACGAAATCTGCGTCCCATTCTTCGTCGAAACCCTCGTCCGCCATTGCTGTAAAGGTTTCTCTTTTTTCTTTTTTTTTCAGTTTATATTTTTCATCTGTTCGATTTCTCCATTTTCGCGCGCTTTGCCCCGTTTGTCAGGGTATTATTCGAAAAGAGACAGTAATTTAAGTGATATGCCAAAATGCTCCCAATAGTTTTTGGCATTTCCTTTTTCTTCCCCAAATGTTTCTTTTAGGTCATTTGTAGCCCGTTCGATTGTTTGATAAAATTTTTGGACTAAGATGCTCTTCCTTTTCCTCTTCTTATTGGTGTTCTACTTTCTGTGAATTTACACCATTTTTGGAAATTGATGTTTTAAATTTCAATTTTCTCCATTAATTAAATTTTTCATTATAATGTTGGAATTTCTTTTGTTTCTTCTCGTCATCAAGGATATTTTTGTATCACAAATTGATTAACAACCATTTTACTTATACAACTTTTTTAAAATGTTGGATGTTAGTTCAACTAATATGGTGGCACTTGTTTAAGTTATTATGGTTATTGAGAATGGCTTGATAAAGAACTTTAGACATTATTCGTTGTAAAATGATCAATTTAAAGGTTGTGGATGATATAGTTTATATAACTTATCCACATTTAAAGGAAATGTATGCCTTGAAGAGGTAAGGTGTTGAATTTGAAGTTTAAAATGTGTTTATTCTAATGTCTTGGGCTACTTACCATGCATGACAGTATCAAATGTATTTTAAGTGTAAAGTTAAGTATCAACTCGAGTTCTTCTCTTAGAAATTGAAAAAATTGATAACTAGCTATTAAAATAGTGAATGATGTTTTAAGATATTGTGAATAATAAGATCCTCATGTTAATAGTCAATTCTTTCTGGTATGTGTGCTAAGATGGTATTGGTTTGGGTCTAATCGGTCACCACGTGTGAAATGAGACATAAACCTAACGAAAGTTATTAAGAAGTTACCACATAAACAATGTAACTTCCATCTTATTTTGAACGTTGATTGGAGAAAATTCTCTAAGTGTATATAACTTTCTCTTCAATCTTCATATTAAAAGACACAATTTCCTTTTTCTTGATAATAAAGGAAAAATACATTGATTCTCTATATCTCCCATGAGAACAACTGACCAAAAAAAAATTAAGTTTGTAGTTAGGACATTGTTTTGATGAAGTCAACTTTGGAAAATTACTTTAATAATGAGTTCAACTATTTTCATTAAAATAAAAAAGATATACAATTCATTATTTCGCTGCTTAATTTTATTCTACCCTCATGATAGCTCATAAAAATGTTTTCCTTTAACAATTACACTATAAACTTTAATTCTAACAACTTTCTTAGGTCAAAGTCAACTACACATAACAATCATAATTAGTTACTAGTATTTTTTTAATAAGCTGATTCACTTGAAAAATAAAAACAGAAACAATTATAACCATAGATTATAAAACTTAGTATTTCAAATTATATCGTGTAAAACGTATATATTATTCACACAATAGAAAGTGAAATATACTTATATGTGTATTTATAATACCTAAACAGGAACATTATGTACATAATAATCAATATCATATTTTTATTTGTGGAACTCTGGATCGAGGGAAATTTGCAAGCCCTATTACTTGAGTGTGTATTGGATAATCCCACTTTTATCAATAACACTCAAATTATATAAGAGACGTAGGTCATAGTACGATGAGCTTGAGAATTGATATATGTCTTCCTTTATGACTATATTGCATCTATCATTACATGTAATATTGTATTATTTACTTATAGAGGGGTCGAAAAATAAAAGTAACGTAGTATCCAAAATTTGTTTTTGAAATCTCAAGGTGAAATTTGAATCTTTCAAAATAATTAAACTAATTTCTGATCTTGTGTTTAGAATATTTTAAATCTCTATATACACATCGTTTTTTTTTAGTTTTTTTTATCTCATTATAATAGTATAATTTTCTTGTTACGGAAGTTCAAGTGAACATATGTACTCCTTCTAAATCACCCTCTAATTACTATCATTGCATTTACATAACGTATTCTATATTAATCTCATTTGTGATTTGTTCATGCGTCGAACTAGCAATCATTAAGAGTTTTATAAAAGAAGTCAATACTCCTATTTAAGAAAAATAATATAGTAAATGTTGACTTTTTCAGATTTTGTAATTTTTTATGATCGTGGTGTACGACTTGACATCAACAAGTACCAAATAATTATATTCATCAAAATTAGAATAGATGAAAATAATCATCTATATTTTTTGTTTCCGATGAATTTTAAATTTAATACCTTAAAATTCTCAATCATTTTATTAGCCCGCATTTTTTTTAAAAACTTTGAAAGTGACATTTGTTGCATTGGGGATACGGCAGAGAAGTCGTTTTAGTGTTTCTTAAACAGAAAACTGGTGGGCCTAAAGATAGAAAATAGACTGCATATCTAACTCTCAATAGTCTACCCCACACACCCACTGCGATACAGTGAAGAAGACAGCCACATGCCAAGAAAAATAACACCATGAATGAGTATTTCTCAAACGAAAATAATATAAATGAGCCAAACTTTTAAGAAATGACATATATAAGCCTTTTTCAAAGTTTGATGACATGTTTAAGCATTTTCTCTTTAAAAAAAGGGCAAGATACAAGTACCCTAGAGCCTAAACTATTGTTGAATTCAAAGCTGGTGTTAAAGAGTACAAATTGACTTTTGGTCCCTTGTGAGTTGTGGTTGTGAATTGAATGAATAAACAAATGAAATAAAAAACTAATTCAACTATCATGATCGAAATCTCAGAGACATACCTTAACTAAACTTAGATTCTATTACACCCCCCTTGAGTTTTTTTTTGTTTGTTTGTAATTTTGTATATCTTTTTGACTTAAAGGAGTACTTGTGTCTTATACCAAAAATAAATAAATTGTACGTTTTAATTTATTTACCTAATTTTAATTTGGTATGAATTATAAAAATATAAATTTAAAAAAAATAAAAAGATTTTTCGTTGATTGTAAATTAATTAAAAATATATATAATGTCTAAAAAAGTATCTTTTAATCGATATAATCTTAAACATACTAAGTCTATAGACATATCTGAATCAATTATTTTTAGAAAAAAACTTCTCCCTTCCATTGTGAGTTCACCCGTGAGTGTAACTTCGTAACAATTTTTGAGCATCTTTCACATCTAATGAATTAATTCAATATCAATTACGATAAAATAGAATTGTCAACATATAGTATCTCACATCAATATACATATCAAATAATTATGATCGGATCTACTAGCCGTCTATCCGTCACCACCACCATCTTATATAATTATGAACACACTCACATGGCACTTACGTCTAATTTAAGTACTTTGCTTCCCTTCCAACCAATTGGATATTTTAATTTACTTTCTTGTCTAAATGAATCTTGACAAACCGTCCCTTTGTGTTTATTGGCAACTTTCAATTTCTATCACTTTCAACTACCAAATAAATACTATACTATATATTTCCTCCATCCAATTTATGATACATTTTTTCTTAAAAGTAGTTTTCTAAGTATTCGACTCAAGTCTTTTTTTCCCAATTTGTTTTGTCTTACTTTTTCTTAATTTTTTTAAAAATAGAATATTATTTTTAAATAATTCTTTAATTTCAATTTTCAGGTAACTTATTGAACACCATTAAAATAAAAATCATTTTGATAGCTTGTATGTCGATATAAAATAAAAAACAAGCAAGCAAATTGCAAGTGGAGTACGGAATCGTCTTTACCAGGGATTTTTTTTAATTCCAATGTGAAACTTCATGCCAACTCAGATTTAGTCCATTCCAATGTGAGTATCCGACGGGATGAAAAACCTTAATAAGTTTTTTTGTGGAATTTAAATTATTTAAAATTAAATCGAATCTAGACAAAACCATCAATGCAAGCTAACTTATCTCCCCCTTTTCTTGGTTTCTCTCACTATATTTCTAGAAAGAGAAGCTGAATTTTTGTGTCAAAAAATAAGATCAGAAGACACCCTTTTGGGTGAATTTTTGTTCTGATTAAAGAGCCTTAATATGGTGGGAATTTTTTCTAGATTTTCTGTCAGCAGAGCTGGCCATCGTCGAGCTCAAAGTGCACTTGTGAGTTTTTTTTTTTTTTTTTTTTTGAGTTCATTTTTGGTAAATTCTTTAACTTTTATGTAATTTGGGTTGTTTTTCGATTTGGGTGTCGAAAATTTTCTTCTTTAACCTCCTTTTTAATGTTAATTTGATAATGATATGAGTTATTTGATCGTTTTCATTTGAAAAGATAGAAGCTTTAGATCGACTGATCACACGCAAGAAGAACTTATTGGCTTTAGAGTGTTAATGGGTTAAACTTTTGATTTGGTATGAATTTGCTTTTTGAATTTTGTAAAGTTAGGTACTTTTGAGATTTTTTGAAATGTGGGATTGACTAGTTCATGGTGTGTAGCCTGTAGGTGACTCTAAATTTGAGTTTGATTTTGGACATATTGCTGCTGAACATGTTTGTGTTACTGTTCTTAACTGTTAAAATAAACTATACTGACTTCATTTTACATTCGGATTGATTTTACTGAGTAAGTAATTGTATTTGAGCTCTACCTGGAGAAGGTAGAGGTAAGGTCTGTGTGCGTCTTCCCCTCCCCAGACCCCACTTGTGGGATTACACTGGGTTTGTTGTTGTTGTTGTAGTTGTAAGTAATTGTATATGAGGCATACTTTTTTCACTTGAAACTATAGCATCTGGTTTTATTATAGTGATTTCTGTTCTATATGAAAATGTAGGATGAAGCAGAAGTGTTGCCCCCAAATACAGAGACAATTGGTGCTGTTACTTTAGCTGGAGCTTCCTCTATCAACCCTCATGGTATTGAAATTGCAGTTGAGTTCAAACCAGTTGAACACCCGACTGAGCCTCTACATAATGATCGGCCAATTCTATGTCCATTACCAGAACCTTCAATATTGAATGTGAGTTGCTATTATGCTGTATCACAAAGTTGTGTTAGATAGATATGCAAGGACACTAAGTATTATTTTTCCTATCAAACATGTTTATTTGAATGGCGTTATTGTGTTAGATATGCTAGTACAATAGTAGCATATCGCCACTGAAACTCTTTCTATATGAGTTGTAGTTAACTATATTGCATTAATATAGAGAGACACAAGGACTCATGAAAGAATCAGTTCTTGATATTGCTAGTTTCTTTATAGCTGCAGGCTGTTGACCTATTTCTAGCTTTCAGAAATTATTTCGTTAATTGACTTTTATTGGTTCTTAGTATCTTTTCTCCAAGACTCCACTTTCCAGAAATTAAGAATTTTCTTAGCTGCACCTTGCAAGACATGAATCAACCATCATAATTTGTAGGTTTTCCAAAAGTAAATAGGATTGTTTGTGATTGGTTATCAAATTCTGTTTATTTGTCTTAACTGTCAAATACTTCCTAGAGAATGAATGCTTCACACACTTTTGCCTTTTCGGTGGGGGATTTAAATGACTAAATAAGAAATTAAGAAATCTAAGAATGGAAAAGCAAGGAAAGAGATGTTGTCAACTTCTTTGCACCTCTTTTCTGCCTTCTATTCCTATCGTTTCATTGATTTTTCTACTTATGTCCATCTAAACAAAACAAACTCATATTCAAACATCCTAACAATTGTTTTGTCAGATATCTTGTCTTGAGTTGTTTTCTCTTGTTTTTTTTATTTTTATTTTTTTCCCGTACAGAACATTGTAACCAGTTTTCTTATCATTAAACATCTATAGACTAGTCTGCTTTTAGATGTGGTACACAAGTCACATTCTTTTATGCTCATCACATAGAGTCATAAAGTTTGATTTTTGTTATTAAGATGCCAGATTGAATAATTTTTCTTTGCCTTCTGTAATATGTCGGCTTTTGAGTTGGTTAGCATTATATCATGAGCGATAGAATATGTCTGCCAATGGAGCTCTGTCATTGTGTTAAAGGAAAGGTTATATCCCTGATGAGAAATACAATCTCAAAAGGGAAGCCTTCCTTGATTATTCCTTTCTGCATGTTAATATGAACAAGAAAAAAATAAGGTTTGCTGCAATTGCTGAACAAAAGGCTATACTTTTCTTGTGTCTGTACACAAATGACTTGAGAGTTGACTGTCATAAGACGTGATAAAGTTTGGTGGTTAAGGGTTATGTGGTTGGAAAATCTAATGTCAGTTACTATCTTTCTATTTCACTTGTTTTCTTCACCTGCTGGTTATATAAGGTGTCTAAGTTCAACTGTTGGAGATAGTGGTATGGTTTGTCAAAACCAATAAAGCATTTGCCTATCCTGTTTGAGAGAATAACTGGATTACTTTACATTGCTCTAGCAATAATAGGGTCACTTGGTCTCCCAGCTCCTTTGTATACCTGTTTATCTACTTCTTAGGCTGACTGGAATTATATGTATTTTGACACTCACAGGATGGGAGAATATGGAAGGAGCGAGTGTCTGCAGTGCGAAGAAGGGCTGATATTCCTGTTGTGCAGGAAGGAACAACTGCAGGGTCTGAGGCTGCTGGAACAAAACCTAGACCATCGATGAATCGGGTTATTCTTCCGTCAATCAGTGCACCTGAACACAGTATCCTCAAACTACTGGAGGAATCTGGAATCTAGCTGATGCATTGCTGAACCTGTCTCAGAGTACACTTGTTATACCAGATAAACCTGATGAAATTTCATATTTTACTTCTTTCCAAGTTTCTCTTCTTGCTTCCAATGAAATGTTTGTAATTCAATTTTATAGGAAATTTCACACATTTGAGTGTAAATATTTCTTCTCATACTGATTGAAATATAGTTTCCAATTGCTCACCATGGTTTTCATTAGCTAATTGTATCTTCTAGCCGTGTTTTTTAATGATGCCATCTCTAATAGATTTACTCATAAGACATGCCAAGGAAGTTATGTGGCGATCGGAATTAAAATATGCATGTTAAATCTATAGAAAATTTGAGGCAGCCTCCAATGTTGTTTATGGTATTACCTGGTAGTTGTTCACGCACTCACCCTGAAGTATGAATTTCTTTTAGGTATTCAATGGATAACTGGGTTTGTAAATTTTGCTAGGATGTGATTTTTGAAACTTTTGAACTTCATAATTTATAGCTGAAGGGACTGAAATGACATCTACATTGAGTCAAATGTAAATCCAGTGAAAGGAATGTTGAAAACCTTAGATATCTATTTGAGGTCAAATAGAGATTATGCATGTGAATTCACAGATATCCAACTGATCGATATAGATGCCACCCTTTTAAATTCTTCTCCATTTGTTCTGGTATGAGTTCGAAATTGTGCACGTGTTTTGAGGAAATGGCATAGAATGTTCTTTTTTTTTTATGACAAGGGAAACCCGCAGCCGCTACCCTTTGGGTGCGCACAGGGTAAAACCCCGCTCCTATGCAATAGCTCGCAAACTACATAGGAGAGGTAACCCGCACTAGGCGAGCCCGGTGAGACGAGCTCGACCTAGAAGCAAACCCCTTGCTTTCGCTGGCAAGGGGTTTCGAACTTGAGACCTCCAACATAGAAGTCCCAAGCCCAAACCACTGGGCCTCCCTGAAGGGTAGCATAGAATGTTTTTTCACTCCGCATTTTCTCTCAAAAGGCAAAACTGTGGTTCTGTAGAAGGAATACTGTTGATTCTTCATTCTAAATTATTATAGAATGTTCTTTCACTGCATTTTCACTCAAAAGGCAAAACTGTGGTTCTGTAGAAGGAATACTGTTGAGTTCTTCATTATGGAGTTGCTCTTTCTTCATTCTAAACTATCTTTTTCAGTGTAGACTAAATAGCATCTGATGGTATATTGTGGAAAAATAACGTAAAGCTTCTGAGTACCCAAGGGTGTGAGTGTGTGGCCTAGTGGTGAATGAAACATGATAGCCATTAAGGTCAATGGCAGGTGATGAAAACTATGGAGATCAGGGTTAAGAAAATGTTAGGTAAATTTTTCCATCTATCTAAGCCTTGGTTGGTAGAGTTAACCGATACATGTGTTGGTGAGAGGTAACAAATACTTGATAGAATAGTTGAGATACTCGTAAGTTTTTTCAAACACCACCATTATCACAGGCAAAGGAAAAGGAGAAAATTTAGCATCTGGTGTTTTGCCGTTGCCTATAGAATAACATGGTCAATGAAAATTCATATCGTCAATCCGAACTTGTTAGGGATTGAGGCGTAACTTTGTTGGTTATGCCCTTGCTTAGTGTGATTATCCTTTCCTTCAACAAGTAGGGGGGAAGGGGTATTCATTGACTTTCTTTTGGCATGTTTGAATTGAAAGTTTCATCTTTGAATACAGGAGTTGATTAGCAAAGTCAATTCCTTCTACTGAGAGAAACCATGTGCTTGTATGATTTGTTTGTCAAGAAGAGTGGGTCTTGCTTGTCACATTAGCAACATTAAGCTAGGATTTTACAGCCTAGCTTAATGTAGAGATGTTCATTTTCTTGGAGAGACATAAAAGATAAACTGACATAGTGGCAGTAAGGTTAGTGAAAGTAGTGGTTATATTTCCTCATTAGGAAAGAAGTGAAGGAGGCCCTGTATGAGCTGTATGCTAATGAGTTGACACTGAAAGCATGATCAAAAGTAAACAAGGGGGGAGGGGATGAAAGATCTTTTCATTGATCAAAATATACATGCATTTTTACACTATGATATGTTGTTTCTTTCACAACTGTCTGGTTCTTGACGGGGCAGAGTTATTCGGTACTTGTGCTAGTGGGAGGTGGCAGGGTACCTGTGAAATTGTAGAGATATGCACAAACTGGAGCTGGCACCACCATTATAAGAAAAAGACACGATGTGATTCTTCCACCAGTTCTTGAGAGCTTAGAGGTGACTTGGAAATTTAGAAGAGCTAAACAAGCAATTTGGGAACATCAAATGGATGCTTAGCTTTTGGATTCACTAGGTATTTTCGCGGTCCACGAAAGCTCCCATGGTTCATCCATGACCTCCATTGCCATCTTTGATGCATATCATGGACACGGCTCGCGCCAAGTTCTCCATGACCAAGTCCAATATCAGTTGAATGAACTGATGCAGAAGAGCTGAAAATGAAGACAAAAAGAAGAAGGTAGCAAAAAGGCTTAAACTGCAGGACCATTATGTTGTGTCTTTTGTAACTGATATGCATTTCTTGGATAATTGGGACTTATTATAGAGGGAAAAAGTGTTACTTTTTTCTTCATTTTTAATAAAGATGACACAAGAAATATCATTTTGGATCACACAATAAGTCACACACTGAACATTGATTGCTTGTGTTAATTAGAGCCTGTGATTATTGATGTTTTGTGTTATTGTAGGGGTCTTGTCTCTCTACTTGTGTTGTTGTTATCATTCTGTTGGTAGATTTGTGTTACTGAAATGAATGCATTTAGGATTAAATCATGACTTTTGAGTGGACAATTATCACTTTCCTTTTTCATCAGTTTAACTTCTATGTATCGACAAAATACGATATTTTTTATATTTCTAAGTACTAAAATGTAACTGTTTGTAGTAATAAGTTGGATTGTAACTAAAAGTAAGGAGGTAACAACAACTGATAGTATAAAAATTCTTTACAAGGGTAATATAGATACTTTTTAGACAGTTTAATCATTTTAAAAATTAATAGTGAAATACTTAGTACTAAACATACATTATTAGTGATGGAAAAGGTGAAGAAAAAAAAACAATTATTGCTACCTACCATGTGAAGGAAGAATCCCAGCATGGACGAGGAAATTTGGAATCAAATTCCTTTAGGTATGATTGGACATGGTAAGGTATTGAAAACTTTGATTTGGTAAAAAAATACTATATCATAATCATACGAAAATAATTAGGTATGATTTTAAGATATTTAAGTTCGATTTGATATTTTATAATATGATAAATCGATAATAATAGTTTTTTCGAAATGCTGTCAACTTCTGTGACCCCTTCCATTGTCCTCTCCATATTGTTGACTTTTTCTTCTTGTTGTTGTTGCATCCAAACAAACACTTGCAATTTAACTGTTGGATGATGTCTTATTTCTCAAATTATTGATTTTTATCCTCATGTTTTACGTATGTGTCGGCAAATAGTACTGTACTTATCTTCTACTATTTTTTTTAGGCATAGTACATAAACATGTTTTTTTAATTTGGTTTCAGTTGATATTTATGTTTTTCAACTTTAGATGTGTACATGTAGACACTTCAATTTGTATAAAGTTGAACAACTATACATACATGTCTTATATGATATAATACACGTAGGACGTCATGTAGGAATGCCACATAAGACGTGTGTAGTTTAAGACCTATTTTTATACACTCAAAGTTGGAGGGTATAGATATCAGTTAAGACCAATTTAAAAGGCATTTTTATATATTATGCCTTCTTTTTGTCTTTCTTGTATGAGAGTTGATGCTTTAGTAAAAGTATTTGAATTCAAGTCTTGACGAATTTGTGTCAGGTCAATATTAAGTGTTCATGAGACACAATAAAAATAAATTGAAGTGTTTAGTTGTCAGTTAAAATCAAATTTGAGTAATTGTTTATATATTATCCTTTGCTTAAAAAAGAAGGAGGAATAATTCACTTGCTTCCACTTTTAGCATCCTATAGGAAGAAACTTATCTCTCAAACACACAAGATATAAATTAGGCTTAAGTCCTATGACCCCTTAAAGTTGTCTGCATAATTCACTTAGACACTTCAACTAAGATTGGTACCTATTAGACACTTTAATATTAACAAATATATATCTATTAGACACAAAATGACAATCAATACATAAAACCCGATGCATATAACTCACATTCCGTAGCTTAAAATAGTTACGAATAAAATTATGACACTTGGCCCATGGCCTATTGCCCAATCTAACTATTAAAAAATATTTTATAATTTTGAAAGATAAGAAGATAAGTACTGTTTTCAACCCTAAATAATTCAACCCCACCTACTAAAACTTTTGCCCGTTCTTCTTCTTCCTTAGTCACTCGCCGTTCTCAACTCCTTTGAGGCTTTGACAGATTATTTTTTGTTTTTCTTCTTATTATTTCTATAAATTATGGGGATTAAATCTATTCGTGAATAATTCGTAGCTTAGCAAAATGATTTTTGAGATGCCTGTGAAAAATAAATCAATGTGAATCATTTTGAAATTAACGGCGATAAGAAATCGAGAATACTCAAATTAATTCTACGAAATTTTAAGATATCATTGTCAATAAGCTTAATTAACTTATATTTTAATTTGTGTGGTGATGTTGGATCAAAGTGACCAGAAATATAGATGAACAGAGTCCGACTAACTTTCTTAACTTCAATACCTGAAAATCTTCTTTCTTATTGCAAAATCAAAATAATTAGTAGATTCAAATTATATAAATAATGAAAATAAATGAAATAACAAAGTTAAAAAAGAAAAAGAAAAGAGAATATGGACGAAGAAGACGATGGCTGAAAAAGGGGGTGGGGTTGATTTCTTGGGATTACCAAGAAATTAATTTTAAATAAAAAAATGACTTTAATTATTTTAATGCCAAATGTCAATAAAACAAAAAAAGGTACAAGTTTTTAGAAAATAAATAAAAATAAAATGATATTTGAAACTTGTTCACGCGCCTAATGTTAAGTAAGGTACACTTAGGTTGTCATATTAGTGTTTTGTGTTTAATAGATATAAGTTTTGAACAATTTAAGTGTTTAATAGGTATAAGTCCCAGTTGAGGTGTCTAAGTGAATTATGCGGATAACTTTGAGGGGCCATGAATGACTTAAGCCTATAAATTAATATTGTTGACTACTATACTTTGA